CCTCAGGTAACTGATTTATTTTGAAGGTGTGGTACTTTTAATGCTACTGGGTGTAAATTTTGTTGGTTCAAGCATTGGATGTGTTGCTTTCCTCAGGAAACAAACAGGTCTTAAAGCAAAAAAAAAAAAAAAAAAAAAAAAATCAGTTTTCATTTTGGTGAAAGGATATCAGATGACCACTTAACAAAGACTCAATGCCAAAAGAAACCTTTATGTTTCAATTGACATTCTTACTTTTGTTTCCAAAATGCTAATTGCTCATTTACCAACAAGAATCGACCATGGCCAGTAGTCTTAACTGCTGAGAACAGTAAATTTCTAGCCTTTTGGGGCAGCTCATTCATTCATGAATGGGCTACTTAGCATTCTATTGAAGAGATGATAAACTCCAGAAATTGCGAGTGAAAAGGTGGCAATCTTGGCATGTAAAATGAAATCAAGAGAAAATGATGGTTAGCGATCATTTTGGTTTCTACAAATTATAATAATTATTTTTTGTCATTTATTTTAGAAAACCTAGAGTGATGGTTGAAGTTTATGGTAGGAACCAAGATAGAAGTATGGTATACTAGTCAACTATGATGGCAACACATTTTTTGCTATTTGTAAATTGGTCTTAAATCTTAACTTGCTGAGTTCATGTCCTGTATTGTTTAATCTTAGGCTTGTTGGATAAGTAGTTTAATAACCTATCATATAACACCAAAATGAAAGCCAAATAGGCAAACTTTATCCCATCAAATTTAGGTCACAAGTATAGAAACAAGCCTGAGACAGCTCTCCTTCCTCAGGTGTAGGCCTAAACAATTTAGTGATAACTTTGAAATAATTTCTTTTTTCATCTTGCTTCATTTAGAAGACAAACAAGGATTTATGTTGGTGTTCTTAGGGTTAGATGGCAAAATAAATGGTGAATATAAGATTCATGATCCCAAAGGAAAAGGATTGGAGCTTTTTGTTGGGAAGCTATCTTGGGAAGATGTAACACATGTGACTTACTCCAAAGGAAAAGGCCTTATTGGTGCTTGTCCTTGAGTCGGTGCATTCTATGTAAGGCCAATGGTGAAAGTTAATTTCTTGCCCTTTTGCTTCTTCTCTTTGGGGATGGTTTCTTTCTCTTTTTGGTTGCAGGTGGACCCCCCCCCCATCAAATCCGAAGTCTTTCTAGCTCCTCATTCTTTAGATGGCCTAAAAGAAGGGGAAGGATTATGTGGAGATGTGTGAGGGCTGCTACATGCTGGACTTTATGGGAGGAAATGAATTCTAGAATTTTCTCCGAAAAGGAAAGAAGCAAAGAAGGAATTATTGAAGCCATAACAGTTAGGGTTGGTGCATTGGCTAAAATTTGTGAAACTTTTTATGATGTGTCTACTGATATGTTGTTGAATAGTTGGGTGGAAGTGGCTAATTCTGTTTGGGCTCGGCCGATAGTTTCTCCTGTGTGGTCACCACCTAACAATGGCTTTATAAAGCTAAATTTTGATGGAAGTAGTGAAGGTAACCCGGGTCCTTCAGGTGTAGGTGGTGTCTTCAGAGGTGAGGAGGGGAAAGTGTTGGCATTGTATTCAGGTCCATCGGGATTGGGGATTCTTTGAGAGCTGAGATCTATGTTGTATTGGAAGGTATTAGAAAGAGCAAGGAACTGAATACACATATATTAATTATTGAAGGGGACTCAAAGTTGGTGTTGAGCTGGATGCAGAGGGGAAGTGGCCTTTGAAAGTTCGCTAATGAAAGAAAGGAAATCAAATGGCTAACTAGGGGGATGGAAATACAATTTCAGTGGGTGAAAAGAACAGCAAATGCATTTGCAGATGCTTTGGAACAGCAGGGTGTGGGAAGGGTTCATTTGTACTGGGCTGTATTGTGAGCTTGTTGTTGCTTTCTTGGGAGTGTTAAGCCTTAACTCTCTCTGATTGTTGTACTGTTGTTTCTATATGTTAATATAATGAAATTCTGTTATTGATAAAAAAAGATTCATGATCCCAAATCCAATGGGAAGTTGAATGTAAAGCTGTAAAAACAGTTGGAGGATCTGAAAGCAAAACTCAAACTTGATAAATTGAAATTCATTTTGGAGTTCCAAAAAATATAAAGTGGAGAAGTTCTTGCTAGTTGGTCCTCATCTAAAGAGAGCAGAGGATGGAAGTGCCCTAGCTGAGCACCAGGCATCTTTATTGACAGTATGGGATAAGAGGGGTTAAGTTCGAACTTATGAATTATCAGTCAAGGTGGAAAGTAGGAATTGCATAGAAAGGACATGTTATTTGCTAAGTCCTTAATGGCCAAAAATAACAAGAATTTTTGTTTTTTTTTTCTGTTTTAATATCATGCAGATCTAGGCCATTTTGGCTTTGCCTCTGCTTTTCTTTCGAAAAATTTAAAATGAGCAATTAGATTGAGGTTTTCCTTTTCTTTCTGAAAAAGGGAAAAAAGGTTATTTTATAGAAAAAATAACACCTATTGGCATTCTGACATAATATAATATATGAAAATTAACTCTGGAAGATGAGTTAGAGATTTCATGCTAATGAGTGATGACACATAACACATTGTGTAAATATAGAGGGTGTTTGGTTCCGTTTACGTTTATTCAGTAAACATTTTGTACTTGTGTGACTGCAAAACCGAGAAACACATTTAATGAGGGCATTTATGACACATAGGCGCCATTAGGCACCACATCAGCAAAATGCCAATAAACGCCTATCCGTTTCAGGAAGCTTCCTGAAATGGGAGAGGCGCACAGAAACCGAAGTTTGCTTTTGCAAACTTCGATACACACAAATGCAATTAATGAGGCATTTGCTGATGGGGCGCCTATGTGGCATCGTCAATAAACGTTTACTCAATAAACATAAACGGAACCAAACATATACATGGTGTCTTGGATGATATAACAGAGCTAGAATGTAGGAGCTGCTAATAATAAGGTGCACAAGCAAATCAAACCTGAAATGAGTATACCAGAACAGTAGGTACAGTACACATCATTGTCATAGCAATAAGAGCAGCAAATCTGGAGATCAGAAAATTCAGAGATCAAAGATCTGATAAGAAACTCAAATTTATTAGTTTTAGAGAATACTTAAACAACTCAATAAACCGGACACACTACCTAATTTTTACCTAAGACCTCTCTTTATAGGCTCAACTCTTTATTATCCCAGTGTTTTAAAGCCCAGACTGTTCATCAATCCAGGAAGTGGGTGGCTGGCAGGTTTACCAGTTCAATTGGGCAATTGGCCTGTTGACCCTGTCAAAATGGTCAAAAACTGGAACCTGTCATTCTGGTCACCAGTACTGCCTGGGTGGACAATAATGGTGATCTATATATGCTTGCGTAGCACACTAGCTCCACTTGGAACTTCTACTTACATCCAATCTGAGAAGCTAAGTAACTAAGCAATGGACCTTCACAAAGATTAGTGTAGAAACCTACTCCTAGATAAAACTAGTACTCCAAATTTGAAATAGAAACAACTCAGACTCAACCACCCTGTAAAAGTCCAACTAAGACCAGAACAGTTATGAAAATACCTCGGTTAACTGATAAATTTTAGAAGAACTATTACTCCTATGTTTTTCTGCATTAAGATATTTATAACAATCTTCATTAGTCATTACCTGTAAAGCTTGTTAGATTTGTTGATGGGCCACATTTTTTTTTCATAATGTCCATCTTGTACATTAAGCCTTGTATTATATGTTAATGCAACTTCTTTTTCTTTTTGAGTTTGACCTCTTAGGAAGAAAAAGAAGATAACTTCTATTAGCCTCTAAAAAGTATAGCCAACTAGCATTGGCCTCATATTCAGGCTATGCATTATAGAATCTTGCAAGGATCACAAAGACAGATTGGTGCTTTAAAAGTGATGCACATTTTAAGGCCCACATCTCACTTTCAACCCTAGAGGGTGGGCCTTGGCGCAACAGTTGGGTTGCTCCATTGCGACCTGGGTGACCAGGGGTCCAGGGTTCAAATCTTGGAAAGAGCTTCTGTGTATGTACAGGGGTAAGGCTGCACACATCTGTCATCAACTTTGTACACACACACACACAGTCTCCAAACCCCATGCATGGGCTTGTTTAGATTTGTCTCTAGGACCTTCAAGAGAAATTAGAGTAAAGACCACAACATTCTAAGATTAGGAATGCAAGACATCTAACATCATACTAGCTATTGATAAAAAAAAAAAACGTCATACTAGCTATTTGAGATAATACAACTCGGAGATAGATAAGCACATTGAAAGTTTCACATGCTTGAAACACTTTGCTACAATCCACTTTCTTTTGGTATTAAATAATGTACATTATAGGGGGGCACTCATGGGTGGGGACAGAGCAGTGTGCATGTGAGGTTCACTGACCTTATCAGGAAGAGTCTGTAGTTATGTGGATTTGATCCCATGTCTCCCCTTTTGAGGGATGCCAAGTGACCATCCGAACAACCAGATCATTGGAGCTACAGCCCACGAGCTATTTGAGCTCAGCTCAAAGATTGTTTCTCGCTTTGTATGATGCACTTCTTACCTTGTGCCTCAGGTGCTAGGCCCTTATGCTTTTTTTGTGCCTCATGCTTTTAGAAGACTGATGTTGCTGGTCATAGGGGCATCTTTCCAGCAATATCATCAGGTCTTAAGTAAGAAGCATTAAGAATCAAGAGCTTCATATAACTGGCTCTATTCTTATTGTCCCTTGGCATGCCATTTGTGCTTTCAATTACTGCAACTGGTGCCCACACTAACTGTTGTATCATATTTCTCTTATGGTCCTTGCATATCTCAAATTATTGAGTTGTGGCTGGCAATATATAAAATGTTCTTACAATGTTTGCCATTTCTCTAGTTTTATTTATTTATTTGTATGCATGTGGCTGCATTCATAAAGGAAATCTGATACATGAATTCTATTGATGCATTAACTGCTTTAAGAGGTATAACATTGATCTCAGAAAATAACAAAATTTCTTCTTTTTTTTTTTTGTTTTTGTTCAGATCATGTTAATGTTAGTTTTGCAAGAAGTGGTGGACCTGGGGGTCAGAATGTCAATAAAGGCACGTTAGCTTCAGTAATTTTCACATTATAACTTTATCCAGTCTTTCATGCTTCTTTTAGTCATGTTGCTTCTCTATTGCCTTTTTTCTCATTGGTACTTATTGAAACTTGGGTGTGAAAATCATGTTTACAGTGAACACCAAGGTAGACATGCGCTTCAACGTTAAGAATGCATATTGGCTAAGTGACCGAGTCAGGGAGAGGATTTTGCAAATGGTTTGTGACTTTATTTGTCAGGAGGGGCATTTCAAGTTTGCTAGCAAGCATAATGCTCTTTTAAATTTACTATGGTTTTTATACTCATACAATGTCTAACTTTTACCTTCTGATATTAACAGGAAAAGAATCGGATTAACAAAGATGGGGAGATTGTGATTTCTTCTACAAAGACCAGAACACAAAAGTTAGTTTCTTTCCACTGCCCTTCTTTAGTTACAAATTTTGCTTTTATAGTTCAAAAGTTGTTAAACCGTACTTTCTTCAGGGGTAACATTGAAGATGCACTGGAGAAACTGCAGGTATGCAGAAGTAATGTTTCTTTGCTTCCTCATTTCTTGTGCAATAGTTTCCTACCGGTCGAGCTTCTTGGTTTCTGACTCAAATGGTAAAAATCTGCTGGATTTAATGGTTTCTGATGAAGATGCCTTTTAACATTTGGTCTGTGGTTCCTCAGATGGTCTGCTTACCTTTTTCTTCTGTTAACATTTACATTGGGCTATTGATTTCTGATATCCATTCTCTTTTAAATTGAGGCAATCATTGACGCTGCTTCTTATGTCCCACCTCCTCCTTCAGAAGAGCAAAAGAAGAAGATTGCTAAACTGTAAGAACTCTACTCTATTCCTGTTTGTCAATACTATTTTTGTCCATGCTTTTTTCGCATTGGCAACTTTATTCTTTTTTTTTTTTATGAATCTGGTAACTCTACTTGTTGACCTATGATTGTCTGTATTTGTGAAGAAATTTCTGTTTTTCCATTTCCTTTCCCCATCTTTCATGCTTGTATACTCCAATTTTGTGCATTGTTAGTATTCTTCCTAACAAGTGATTGCCAGGAGCAAGGTTCAAAGTATCGATACAATACACCCCATATTGGGTGTATCGTATTGTATCTTTGGGTGCCCGATACACCTGTTTACAGGTGTTTTCGGGAACCCCTTTTTTATTAAATAATATATATATATATATATAATTATACTTAACTGAAATTTGAAAAAAAAAACTAAAAGAAAGGCACATCACTTGATGTTTTGATACACCTCTGCCGATACACAGAGGTGTATCGATACTTTGAACCATGGTCAGGAGAGCATAGTAATGTTGACAAGTTACTGATTTTACCACTGTTCTGTGATTTTAGAGCTGCAATAGGGGAGCAAAAAAGGTTGCAGAAAAAGAAGGCTCTCTCACAAAAGAAAGCCATCAGGAGAAGCAGAGATAGTTGGGACTAACTGAGCAATCATAAGGTTTGACTTGCCTTTAGGTTTTGGAAAATGGAATGCAAGTACTTAATATCTTCCTCTTATGATTAATTCTTTTTTCTTGTTGGAATGATTCAGAGTAAAATATTTCCTCATTGAGGTTCCTTCTCTTTCTTTCTTTGTTTAGGTGGCTGTTCAAGCAATTGATTGATGTAAAGTTTTAGTTATTACATGGATTTACTGTGACAGATTGTTGGCAGTCAGTAGGGTTTAATGGGCAGCAGCGATAAAACAGAGAAAAATTCTTCCTCTTGAAGCAGAACCATCAATGTTTGGTAGCATGACATGATCTTCTGTACAAAATATCAATTGGCTATACTTTTGTACGAGTCTATCATTCTTATAGGAATACATTGATATACTATACATTTGAAATGAAATTATTCCTCACTGTAATTAGGTAACTGTACATAAGCACCTATTGTTACCTGCAATGCTCAGATACTGCAACATTGAAATCTTTACCACCACATCTTTTTCAGTTTAAGTTAACGCTATTGATTCATTCTACGTCTTATAGCTTTGGTCCAATTGGTAAAGTTAGCTTTGTGTGGTTCCATCACTTTGGGATTAGACAGCTTTGTGGGGTTAGCACAAATACCGTTGGCAGAACGAACATGATCTGGAATATGTATCACAAACTCGCTCTTGTTGCTAAATTTACATCTTCTAGCCTAATGCAAGCCTTCTAAATTGATTTTCAGGTGGGATAAATAACCTAAAGCTGGTTCTAAGGTAGACTTTAGGTGATCTATTGGTAATTTGGTCTGGCTGAATTTACAGCCTCTAGCCTAATGCTATCCCAGTAAATGATTTTCAGCAGGTGCCATATCTGCACGTGCAGAAATAACCTAGAGCTGGTTCATCATCATCATCCATGTCTTATACCAATTATATCAGGTTGGTTACATGAATCCTGTTTTGCCAATCCATTCTATTTAAATCCATATCAACTATTAAATTATTAGTCATTTCTTGTTACTTTTATCCGTGTCCTTTTTGGTCTCACGAACTCTTCTTCTAGCCCCTTGAAACTAAAGCTGGTTCTAAAGAAAAGGCCCTTTGGAAAAAGATAAGATTTGATCTTATGGCGATATTATCAAGAGAGATTGCGTGCTTTTGATTGCATACTTATGCCCTATCTCTAGCACCATGTGCTGCTTTTGTTCCATTTGTTTTGTCGGAGAATCTTTTGATCTAGAAAATCTCATAGGAATCGCTTTCTTGTTGTTTAGGACAGGAGCAACTTGGAAACCATATTAAACCAGACAGGGCATGCGCAGTGGATCCAATAAAAGCAGAGGGCCAAACTCGGGTAGGACCTACTGAAACAATCCCATGTATGGTGGGAGAGAGCCGAGTTGTGCAGGTTTTCAGCTAAAAAGCAATATAACAGTGCAAGAGGAAATGAAACCCTCCCACTGATTTTTTTGCATACTGTACAACTACTACTTTCCATTAAAAATTCAGTAAGTTATTTTCCAGGATTTTCTTAACCTTTGTCTGACAGTGCAAGAGGAAATGAAACCCTCCCACTGATTTTTTTGCATACTGTACAACTACTACTTTCCATTAAAAATTCAGTAAATTATTTTCCAGGATTTTCTTAACCTTTGTCTGGCTCTAGATCTAGAAGGTAGAAGCGGTGATCAATAATGTCCAAAGGATCTGCATAAAAACACGAGTCCTCAGTTGCTCTCCCCAACTATAATATCTCTCTATTGTTCAGGAGTCAGGAGTCTCAGGACTCTACCACCACAGAAATAAATGAGTGGACCTCTCCTCTCATTCAATAGAGCTAGACAAAGGCGGTGCTTCCCACCATCCTGCGAGTAATGCCACCCAGACGCGGTGGTAGTGATTATATGCACGGACTTCAGTGTGGAATTCCTTAAATTCAAGGTAGTTAGGACTTAGGACCATAGTTTTGTTCGGGATAGCTGGGTATCAAAAGATTAATTCATGACATTTCTGCACCCAGAAGATGAGAACTCCCGAGCTGGTCCCCCATATTCTAAATTGATCATCTAGAGTAAACAAACATAGAAGTTCAAAGAGCACAAGCCCATCAGGTGGTTCCCACTTTCCACTTCCCACCTTGCACCATTTCTGTGTGCTTTGCTGCTTCAGGGAACATTTCCCCCTTTCAGTATTGGGTTCCATACCATCTGGTCTTCATGGTCTATAGAATTTCATGGACATTTTGGAATTGGAAAAGCATCAGCATCAGCAGCAGTACCACCACCACCACCACTACGGCACTAGCACTCTTTATTTCTGACAGAACAAAAGGAATAATTGGCAAAAGTAGTGGGTTAGTTAAAACAGTACTAAATTACAGCCCATGAACAGTAACACCTGATGCCCAGAAAACAAAAAGGAAGAAGATTTGGGATTAGATTTGAAATCAAAGTAATAAAGGTTATAGACTTACAGAGGCTGGCCATGGCTGGGCTGGCCTTGTTATTCAATCAAGCTCCGTAGACATCCTGATGAGCTGATAGTCTGAGAGATGGGAGGGAGGGGTGTTATTTATATATAATATTTACTCTTGAATGTATTGGGTTCTGTGGCTGACATGTTCAAACTTCAGACATGCAGCACTATCTCATGTTGGTTTTGTCTCCTCTGTCAAAATTCAACCAAATCAGATGGCTGGCTGCAACCTCCTAGGTTCCTACTCCTTCAGAGGAAGCTAAGATATTACAATTACAGATGAAGAAACAACATACAACCAATAGAATCTCTGAAAAATTTTCTCCCTTTGTTTTATGGTAATGGTATATGTACAGGAAAAAGAAAGAAAATCATATAAGAGGAAACTTTTCAAAGACAAAATTCATCGCCGGAACAAATGCTCTTCGCCGGATTCCTGATCGACGTGCCTGATCCAACGGCTCCTACCTTTCGGGGCTCCACCAGTAGCACCCACATGAGCAATCTCCACACCCTTGCCAACGGGAAGAAACGCCGAACGGACCACCCGGGACCCACCGCCGAGAACACTACGCCATCTGAAACCAGAACTAGCGCCTGAACCTGCGTTCTTGCAAATCAAAACTGCACCCCGGGGGCTCAATTTAGCGAGCCTCAGTATCCTAGCGAAGTCCTTACGTCGGCAATCCACCACCAAGAAGTCCACACCCACGAGCCCATCCATCACCTCCTCCGCCTCTCCGACGATAACTTCCGACGTCATGCCGACCTCACGCATGGCGTCGACGTACTCCGATCTTGACCTCTCGTCCGGGACGACGCAGACGTGCCTACCGTGCGTGTGACGGCTGGCGACAGACAGGCCGACGCTGGTAGCAACTATTCCACCTCGATGCCACGCCTCGACGATCAACTGCGGGTTCCATCCACCGGCCATGGCCGACACAAGCTCGGCCACGCTGGATTCTTCGAAGAGCTCGCACTGCAAATCAAATTGAAAACGATTTGTTAGAACCGGCGAAGAGGAACCCGACAGGTATCCATCTGAGCCTTTATTCAGAAGATTGCTTACAGATTTAACAGTATCGATGTAAGCCTTGGAAGCTGTTTCCGGACTCCACACCAACTTCATCTCCTCTTCTTCTTCTTGCCCTCCTTGAAATTCTGATTTTTTCCCTTCACCAATGAAAATTTGGTTTGAAAGAGCAGTTGGGTTGTTTATATATGGAACGGAATGAAAGCTACTACATATGAAATAGAGTGGAGAAACCGCTTTTGTGAAACCGTTGACATTGCCCCCGACAAATCAAACGTGTGAAGCGGGAATAGCGAGGGATTACTTTACTTGATTATCATCACTAAATACACATAAGCCCACCTGGTTTTGCCCATTTTGCTTTTGAATGAAGAATTTCGTGGCCGACACGGTCACGCGGCTGCTAATAGTTAATATTCTAGAGGTTGTATTGTATTGTATTGTATTGTATTCATGCCCTAGGCTAGCTAATTTGAACCAGCTCTATATGTATTTGAATTTTGTTCTTACATGACCCCACCTATTTCTTTGCCACGTGGAGGAATCTGTAGCTGATCCAGACTAACCCATCAGATGGGAACCCACTAATTTTACCATGTGTGGAATTTCAGGGTCATCATCTCTATACTCAACTGTGATGGACGTTTGCCTAATCACTGATAAGTAATATCCATATATATATTTTTTACCCAAGTTATAAGATGTCAAGAGGGACTGTTCTGATAACTCTGGCTCAATTTTTTTTCCATGAATGAAAGGGTTGAGAGTAAGTAATATGTTGATCTCCAAATTAGGTTGCCACGTGGAAAGAAAATTTATGGGTTACTTGGGGTAGCTCACTTTATGACTGGCTACCAAATCTGTTTCTTAAAATGATGGTGCAGAAATCATCTGGGATTAAAATGACTTTGCCTCAAAAGGTCAGAATAGTGAAAATGGTAAAAATAGTTTGAGAGATTGGTTGGTACAAGTTTAATGTCATTTAAATTAGCAGCATTTCAAATTGAATGAAGATGTATATATGGTCACAAATAGATATTTAATGTTTCATAAGGTTGGAATACCTTGTTCCATCACAATGCTAAACTCAGGTGGAAGTATTTACTACAATGAGAGATATGTAATGTAGTATTATCATATTAGTACCTAACTAAACACAGTAAAACAGGGTTTATTCAGAGAAAAGAAATATTAGATTCTCCATCTTTGTCATTGAGGATAGATGGTAGCAAATATTCTGACTAAGTTTTGTTAATGAAGCTCTATTAACAATGCCAACATTAATAGATTTGGTTTCCTCTGAAATCATGGGTATCACTGTATTAATGGTTAAATTTTGTTGGGTTGTTACCTAGTTTTGACATTAATCACTTTTCATTTTTAATCCATCAACATGATGAGAAATGAAGAAATTAATAAGGTGAAATACAACAAAAATTCTCGACGTGTGGCATTCATCGGTTGGTTGTCGTTGTGGATCGCCCGATTTGACCTAAAAATATCAATAAAATTAGGGAGAGGGAACAACCATATTGACATGTATGTGGGCGAAACTGTTTGATAACAATGCAAGCTAAGTGGCCCATAAAAGAAAGTGTAGTTGCATTAGTAATTGAATTATCAGTTAATCAAGGGAGATAAGCAATGAAGATGCTCTCTCATTTGAATATCAACTCACCGCCTTGTTTTATGTCAAATTGTTCTTGATATATACATAGATTGAAAATGTACTTGCATGTGTACCATATTCTTTCACTCATTTATTTATTCAGTTGTTAGATACTTTCTCTTCTCCACATTTGTCTATGTAACCCCTTCTCTAAATGTCAACCCTTATCCATACACCGGCCTCCATCTCTCTCTCTCATTCATCTGGCTCTTATCCACGAGAGTTATTGCAGCCTCCTGATCCCTTACTTTGAAATAAAACCATTCTCTTTCGCACTTGTTTCACTTCTTCTTTTTTTTCTTTCCTCCAATTCTATATTGAGAGCTAGTCTATTTTTCATTGTCCCATTCTATATGGCTGCCCAACATTGTTCCAAATGTTTGGTCCATTCCACCCTTTGTATGTGGCTAATACTCATCCCTATCAAGTATAAAATAATTAAATTAAAGTTGAGAAATGCTTAATTCTCGAGGAGTCTGGATCTCTTGTCTATACGAACTTTGCCCAGGTCTACCCACATAGCATCGCAGCTATCATATGGGGAACATTTCATCTTCCTACATAGTATTATGCACGGAAAGATATTCTCAATTCACGGAAGTAGTATGTTGTAGGTAAACATGAGCAGAGTTCTTGTGAACAGGAGATCTAGAGTCATTCTTGAGTACCTATTTTTCCATTATGCTTTTTTTTTTTCTTTTTAATTTACTCTCTCTCTCTCTCTCTCTCTCTCTCCAGGGCTGTCAATGAGTTGGGTCTGACCCGACAGGTTCAAATCGATTGGGTCAGTTCTGGTTTCAGGATCTATACCAATGGGTTGGTTTTGATTCCTAATCTATTGTTCTGATTATTATTGGTTCAGAATTGGTCCGTCAGTTATACCTAGTCCCAAACTTTCAGACCTAACCCGATACATACATATTAAATAAATGCATAATATATTAAATAAATTAATACATAAATATATTATATATTAAATGAATAATATTTTCAGCAGATTTATTATAATCTACTCCATTAGGTCAAATCCGATTGTCCTGACAACCACTCACTTTGATTTTAAATCTAAAATTACAAACCCTAGCTAGGTTTGATTCAGTTTCGGGACCTTGATATTTTTTTTATTGGATCGATTCCGGTTCTACAATTGTCCCGACCCGACCCGTTGGATCGATTCCCACAGTGAGGCAAAGGCCAGGCAAACTAAAGGAAAAAGAGAAAAGTGAGGAACGTATGGAGAAGGAAAATGATTCCCTTTGTAAAGTTGACGAGTGCTTGCTTTTCTCACTACTGGGGTCTCAGTGGTCTGCTACTGCTAGCATCCCACCTGCTTCTACTTCTTCATCTGATGATGATAATTATGAATGATGATAATCCCCCACCTCACCACTCACCACTCACCACCCATATTTAACACCACTACATCACCCCTTTCGTCATTAATGAAGCTGCATAGTGCATGCTTCATGTGCCACGTCATGGGTTGGTAATATTTTGGGCTTTGGCCCACTTCTTAGAGATTGCATTCACCTACACGCGCCCTCCAATTTTGGGCCCACTCATCATCAAATCAAACTGTCTATATTTATTGTTCCATTTAATTTTTTTTTTTCGAAATCCTTTGTTCATTTAATTCAACTAATTCGTTTATAACTAATAATAAGTTAAATAAGTACTTAAAAATAAATAAGTACGAATTTTATGCTTTTCAAATAAATATTTATTTTTCAAACGCCAATAAATACTTATTAATGTGGTCCCAATTCAAAATATGCATTTATTTAAATAAACACTTATTTTTAAGCACCCTCAAACTTTGGCTAAAAGAAAATTCAGAATGGCCGAAGCGTAATTTCCCCATTAGAAATTAACTTCATTTTTGTGGAAGTGGGCCTGATGCCTGAGCCCTAAGCAAAGAATCCAATAATAAAACGGGTCAAAATGCCCAATAAAGAAACTTAGGAAGGAAAGAGGTCCGCGTCCGTATGGCCCAACGCGTACGGAACACCGCGCCCACATTCTTCTCTGGTTCTCTTCTATCTCCTCCATCCAAAGTAGTCAGACAAGACTCCACTCTTGTTTCACGTTTATCTCCTCTTGCTGATTGGCTTGTGCTGATGCCACGTCAATGTCACAGCTGAGAGAATGGGTCAACCATGGTCTAACGTGGATATTAGTTAAGTGGGCCCCCACCCCCTCGGGAAACGTACGGCAACTGTATCTGTTCCCTTGTCTCCTTAACTTCCGGCCAGGTCATCCTTCGCGTATGTGGAGGGACCCACTGTAATTGAGCGATGGTTCATGGTTTGGAATTGGAATTGGAATTGTCATAGACTTACAACGGTTACCTTAGACGTCTCGAGAGTTCAAATCAGCCCAGACTCCCCCATAAGACTGCCGATAGCACATTCTCGCCGTGTATTAGAAATATCTCGCGATGATAATATCAGAAATGATGATATATCATTGAGAGATATTCTCAATACACGGCGGGATGTAATGAGGGGCTGATTCGGTCTCACGTGGAAAACCCTAGAAAGATGTTTCCTCCATGTAGAATGATGACATGGCACATCCGGACCGCCCATTTTGTAGAAAGCTCTCCAGATAGATAGCATGCGGATGTGATGATCCCCCTTGCCCACGTCAAATTCACGTGTCTTTAAATTTTATAGGGTCGAACCGTATTTGTTGAGACCTAATAAGAAAAGATATCTAGAATGAACGACTCGGGACGATTCAACTGACCAGGTCCAACCAAGGACCAATTGCTTCCCTGTAATCCCTAGTTTTCACTAAAATCAACGTTGATTCTATGCTTGTAGAAGCTGTAAGCCTGTAAGCATTGAAAGAAGAAAAAGGAAATGTCGAAACCTCTAGGTTATTAATTCCTTCTTTGTTCTCCCTCCTCATACCCATATTTTCTACCTATATTCTCTTAAGCTCCGTTTCGTCTGTTAGATGAAGATTGGAAGAAAAGAATATTTCAAAAATATATATTTTTTTGTTTTGGAGGAAATAGGGGATGGAATGGAAAAAGGATAGGATGTGGGATCCCAAAAATAAGAATATGGGGTGGCGACAAATCAATGCGACCCCACTGAGAAAGGGAAAATCGAAGATGCATTTGGAAAAACATATTGGAGGTCCCATTTACCTGTAGGCATTCCAATGGTCATATCTTTGGCCACTTTTCCGGCATCTTTGAACGACGATAAGGCATTCCAACGATCGTATCTTTGAACGACAGCTGCCTTGAATGGTTTTTGCTAGTTTACCTTGGGTAGTGGAAAATTGAACTTTTCCCATGACTAGAAGTTGGCCCCAACCCCATCTTGCCACGTGGAAGATTCCCATTCCATTTTAGGACTCTTCATTTAATCATTCAAAAGATCAATTCTATCGTCACTCCATTTCTTTTTCGATTTTTTCTATAATTCCAAATGAAAATGAGCCATCTTAAACATAAAGGCTGTGTTTGGTTACATGGACTTTTATTGAAAA